ATGTTTGTGTATGTAGGGCCATGAGACAAAAAGCACAACTAATCAATTTCAACTCATCTAAATGACCAAGGCAGTAATTTTGTAAGACCATGTATGTAGCGTGTAGTCTACTAAGTTGATTATTCACAATATACACAGAAGTGTGGGCTATTTCAAGTGCCAAAATCTTTTATGGTGATATGAGGCCAATTTATTCTTGATACTCGTAGGTTTGGCAGAGAAGAGGTTATTCATGAACAAATAGAAAGTTTTCTTATTTTTTACCATCTGATGCACAGATTTTTGAATTAGAACATTAAAAGCAAAATAGTTTTAAGAAAAAAAAAAGCAGTGTATTAATGAGCAATATAAGTGTTAAGCGTTTTTAGCAAAATGCATGTGATGTTTCTAAACTTATAAACTGCAGGTTTACGTTACATTAGAGTCTTGCAATATGAACTATGTGTAGAAATCTACACCCTACATATTTTGCTATCAAGCTGGATCATGCCAAAATGTTAGCTATACTCCTGAAAACAATGCAGGTCCCTGGGCTTCATTAGAGATTAAATGCTGGTGAGGAAGATTTGACAGGCTGTACAGGCAAACGGGACATGATCTACAACTACCACTAGAGCTTCACTAAAGTAAAATGTACTATTTTATATTGGAAGTGTATTCTGATATTATTGAGAATACTAACTAATGACATGATCAAAGCTGTATAACCTGCTTGTTAAAGCTTAAAGAGGAAAAAAAAAAACAAAAAACACCACACGGGACGCCATCACTATGCAGTGTCCCTTGTGCTGCTGGCTCCTGGTTTATTTTAAATGTTCCTCCTCCAATCCCTTATCTACTGTAATGTTCCGGTGTTGCAAGGATTAATCAAGCCCAAAGACCTGTCATATGCACTCATCAAGAGTGCTGACTACGCCAGCCCTTTCTCCATTCATTGATTTTTTTTTTTTTTCCCGTTCATAGAAGATATAGTAAAATTTCTATGAATGGAGTTTGGGTGGATGAATGAAGAAAAAAAAGAAAACCTCTTCCATTCATACTGGCTGTAGTATATCTTCTGTGAATGAATGAGGTGGGAGGAAAGGGTAGGCATAGTCAACACTCCTTATGAGTTCATATAACAGGTCCGTCAGCGCTATTAATCACCCCCCCACCACCACCACCACCAGAAGATTATGGCAGCGAGGGTAAGCGGGGATCAGCGGAACATTTCAACTAAACCCAGAACCAGCATACAAAGGACACTTCACACTGATCGTCAGTAATGTCCCTTGTGGCATTTATTTTTTTACTAGCACTTAAAGTATATAGTTTAAGTTTAAAACTCCCTGCATAGAATTGTGTACAGTACAAGCTACTCCCTTGAAACCAGAAAGCTCCTCCATGTCTGTCAATGCAGGACGTCAAATCACAGGGGGAAGCCTCAATTCACGTCCGCAGCTTTCCAACCGATGCTCCAGCATACAGGCAGTGTGACTGAAGGTGCGTTTGCACATATACATGGTGGGATACTGTCCAAAAGGTATTGGTGGATGTTGCGAGAGCTGGCTTAAACCCAGTTTGTTAGGACATGGTAAAAGGATATGTCCTGTTTGTGTTTTGTGTTTAAACAGCATCTTCTCCTACCATTATGTCAATCAAGGGATCATTAGTACTAGAGAGCACTGCACACAAACAGGCTAGGCACAAGATTAAGTCTTCAGAATCAACAGGGCATATTGCCTTGTACTGCTTCCCCTTAGAAATAAAGAGTAACATATGGTGTTTACAGGGTACAGGTAAAAAGAAAAGAAGGTTCTGGGTATGGAATTCTTATGACGTGGCCTGATGGCAGACGACGATGCAGAACATGCTCCTCAGTTCTTACATTTTATTAAAGGCGCTATCTAAAAAAAACAAAACTTTTTGACTGCATAAAACTTAATCTAAATGCCTTTGTACTGGCTATAAGTAAATGAAAGCTGGACCCATACCAAGCTATTCTCAAAGCTGAGGCAGACAAAAATAACTAACATAAGGATTACAGAAGGTTGTTGGATAAGGTTTTTTTTTTTTTTTTCTTAAAAAAAGGTAATAAAAAGTATTAAAGAAAAAAACAAAAACACATTACTTAAATTACGATCAGCATTCAGATCTGCTAAGGATTCTTAGTTGCTGCAGGGTAGGTAGCCTCACATATTTCCTCCTGTTAGACAAATATGTCTATAGCCAGCTTTAGGTTACTACATGTCCTACCTATGGGGAACTGGGTTCAGGATCTATGTGACCAAAAAGATTTTTTTTATTTTGATACAGTTAACAAAAGACTGTTGTGGACTACTGCTGCACCCTTAGCAATTGTACTGCTGAAATATATAAACATTGTATATATCGCTCAACCTGGCTGCACAGCAGGCGAAAAGTTGAGCGTCCCATGATGGAAACAGTACAGGGCAAACGTAATGTAAAATCCGTAAAAGCAGAAATACCTCTTTAAAGCCTATATCAGTATGTCAGTATCAGTAAATACAAGTAATATCCGATTTCAAGATCATTAGATCATTAAAGTTGAACAAAATGTAGGTCTTAGTGTTAAATCATTAGTTTGCCTGGAAGAAAACCAATATCTCACACGCAATGGCTCCACACAATGTGTGTTTAGGTAAAAGGCATTTAAACCAAGAATAAATAATTCCTACTGACATATAAACACCTATACATACAAAATGAACACATACATTTAAATTTTGGTTAGGAGCAGGGAAGAGTAAAGTATAACTAAAGGCTACTTTTTTTTTTTTTTTAAATCTAGAGTGGGTAGGAATTAGAACACCAGTTTTTTTTTTTTTTTTTTTTTTTATTGCTGTCTGGGTCCCTGTTAGACTGCATCCACATAAGTGTTTTGTGAACACACAAAAGCACGCATTCACAGAAACATACAAATAAAGCCTGTTGCATCTGCAGTGCCATTCATTGTGGCATGACAAAAACGCGCAAATGCTAAATGCCCAAAAGATTCAGCCACTTTTGCATGTTTGTTGTGCATAGGGCAGCCCACTGAAATCGCTGATTGGCTGCCCTATGCTTGTAGCATGAAAAACATGCAAAAATGCATGTCCCCAAAACACTATAGGGGTGATTGACTAAACCTGGAGCAGCCGATTCAGCTTCTGACTTCAGCTTTTTTAAACATGCTGAGCTGCACCCAGATTTTGCACTATCCAGCTTTAGTAACTCAACCCCAATGTGTGAACCTAGCCCAAGGGAGATTCACCCTTTTTGTTCCTGGTGACTTATTTGTGAGAGTAAAAGAAAATCCCAAATTTTGAATTGTCACCAGAACAGGAACAGAAGAGAAATCTTCCAATAGGGATACTAGTTCTGCAGATTCTGTCACACTTGTTTTAGTCATGGGACAAAAGTGAAAGGAAATATTCCCAATGGGACACAGATGGAAACCCCCCCCCCCCCCCCCCCCAAAAAAAAAAAAAAAAAAAAAAAAAAAAAAAAAAAAAAAAAACTGTTCTACAGCTCTCCCTTACTCTAGCCAAAAAGTTTTGCCTTTTTCCACTTGTTAAATAAAGTTTTGCCTTTAGCTCTACTTTAAAGCCTCTGCCAGAGTTTTATTGCCATTCCCCCCGCTTCTTTGTCACAACAGGAAGTGATCGGAAATCTCTCCAACTGGGACAAAGAAAAACAAAAGTTTTTTGTTTTTTTTTCCTTTTTGGGTGCCTGTACTTTCCTGACTCCGTAACTATTGTATTCCTTATTTCTTCTACATGATTTACAGGCACAAATCTCCTCATTGAGATCACAGACAGAAAAAAGCCTAACATAACCAAGAAGAAATGTTGACATTTCCTTGCTCTAGTTAGTTTCTGAAGTTGTTTAGCAAAATTTTAGTTTTATTTGGAGGACTCATATCCTTCCAAACAAAAGAAAAAACATTAACAAACCTAGTAAAAAAGTAGCAATATAACATATTTCACATAACAATGAAGTGCAACAGATAAGGTACAGATGACAGAACTGTGATATCTAAAGCTCTGCCACATGGTTGCTTAACATGCCAAAAGCACTATAATAAAATGCTAAGGCACTATATTAAAAAAAGATAGATATATAGGACATATCTCTTATACAGCTTGTGTTTTTGCATAATTTTGAAAAACATTTTTTTTCCCCTTTTTTTCCCAATATTAAGTTTTGCCAGCAATCAACCCAGCTAGCGGCTAAAAGCCAGGACAAACAAGCCACAGTCATGCATTATACTAAGGCATCAGCAACAATGGATAACACGTTATAATGCATGCTAACTGCCAAAACAGCAAGTAATGAGGTGTACCAAGCTTCCTTTTGTTATCTATATATTCAGGTAAAATATATAGGATACAAAAATTTAGGAATGCAGGAATAACTTTAGGACATGTGTCCCTTCCCTCAACTGATGGGTATACATATATAGATATAGTGGTTTATATAAACAGACACCACAGTACAAAGACTGCTACTGCATTGGAAGTAAACAAGAGCACAATGAGAGGAGCCATTGATGCCTGAAATATTGCATTCACTTTCACAGCTTTGTCTTGTTCTAAATTAGTGCGCAGAGAGAAAGATGAAACTTATGTAAAAAAAAAAAAAAAAAAAAAAAAAAGCAGAAGAAAAAAAAAAAAAAGCAAGTAACACAATGAGAAAAAGCAGAGCTTACATCTGTTTAACACTGGCTTTGGCAAACTTTGATATACACTGTAGTTTCAGTGGCCCCGCAAGTTAAAAGGCCCACACCTGTAACTCATGTAGTAAATGGTTTTAATTCAAAGTAGTGAATCTTCGGTGTTATTTAAAAACGGAATTAAAGAGAATTTGCCAGCTGTCTAAACAGAAGTAAAACATCAGTGAGAAAAAAGTAAGCCAGAAAGTGAGCAAACAAAATAAAGGTTGATGGTGTAAGGGTAGGACGTGAGTTTTATTAAGCGAGCAGAGAAGGTACGAACATAAGCTAACACATAGAAAAAAATTTACATTGAAGTCATGTCATTGAGAGCGTGATCCAGTTCTTCACTGATGGCTTTGTACTTCAGTTTCTGGGCATACAGTTCATCTGCTCGGAGGGAAGGTGGGAGAGAGATTGATCGGGAAAACAAGGGTGGACAAAAAAAAAAAAAAAAAAAAAAATATATGGAAAATGGGAATGAAGGTAGGACAGACAGGAGGTTTGTAATGGGGGGGAAAAAAAAAAAAAAAAAAAAAAAAAAAAGTATAAAAGGAGGAGGGGGAGCAGGACACAGAAAGGACAACAAATAAGGATATGGCGAGGACAGGTAACCAGATGGAGGTAACCAGATGGAGGTAGAGTAAAAGGTGGAAAGAAGTCCAGTGTTCGCAACACCATCCAGGCACAGGGTGAAGAAGCAGACAGCGCGTGGAGAAGCAGCGAAGGCCCGGCATGAGATAACAGATTGTATATAAATAAAAAAAAAAAAAAAAAAAAAAGAAAGACAGGTTAGCAGTAGAAAAGGCAACTTCATTGCCTATTTAGAAAACTACTGTATGGTGAGCAAAAAGGATTTTCCAAGTCTTGAAACTATCAATTTTTCTAACATTACCACTGCACGATATCTGGGCGCTGGAAAGATGCACTATGATGAGAACCTTCACAACACAAACCTCATCAAAAATTACTTTACCCAATAATTCTTAACACAATACAACCATTATATGTCTCCGATTCTCCATCCAAATCACACAAACCACTATAACCATAAACCATTATAATCTGCCACCATTACACAATTATAGAAAATAAAACAAACAAAAACTAACACTTATGGCTCCCCCAAAGAAGCTTCCTGCATGTCACAACTGAAGCTATGCAGTCTTCCACCCTAAATACGAAAAAGGAAAAAAGTCATACCTTCTAAATCATCAATGGTCTTTTCCAACTTGGCTACTGTCCTCTCTGCAAACTCAGCACGTGTCTCAGCCTAAGGGAGGGTACAAAATGAAAAAAAGTTTAGGTCTGCCAACATCTCTGGAAGAAAAATGAACCAAACAAATCAAAAAAAAAAAAAAAAAAAAAAAAAAAAAAAAAAAACTTACCTCCTTCAGTTTGTCTGTGAGAACCTTGATTTCCTCTTCATATTTGTCCTCCTTCTGGGAGTACTATAATCAGAAACAAAGACAATTCTTAGCAGGTCCATCAATGTCTTAACCAAGATTCCCCTAGCAGTACATTCGAGCTTCCAAACCAAATGAATGCGATTTGTGCACAAACTACCTGGTTTAGTGGAATATGCCAACAGATAACATGTAATAGATTTCACAATAAAAAGAAGTGATTGTATTCTTTTATATAATATGAGCTATTCTAACTGCTGATTAATCTGCCGAGTCTGACCAGGCAGAATGTCATCCTTGTCTAGAATACGGAATCCATCAGGAACGGAAAGATTATAGGGATAAATAAGGTTAAGATACAGTTTCTCAGTCCTAAGGGTATTGCGACAGAATTAGGCATCAATACAAGAGACACCATAGGGATTTCTGCATGGTAAAATAAGACAAACAAGCTGAGGACACAGAGTGAAGACAAACCTTCACCTTATACAAGATCTGCTGTGAGATTTTCCAATAGAATCAGTATTATGCACAGAGATCTAGAGAGGAGAAATGGCACCGCACTGCATGGAGACATCGTGCTACATACAGTATTATAATGCATTAAAAGTATATACTCCAATAAAGGTCAGCATTTTAAAGGTGAAAATATGAGATAATCCACTCTTTTTTAAACCGTGAAAAAGAGTGCATGCTAGTTTGGCAGCTATATGTGTTTTGTTTAATAATTTGCATCCCTAGTGTCTCTAAACAGCAGGTTGTTACTGGCAAGGGATGCATCAAGAACTAGGAAGGAGGAGCCCATGATCCTATAATAACATTGCTATATCCACTTTTGCAATAGGGCATTAGGATGTTGTAGTAAGTCGGAAGCAGCAAGGGGTTTTTGCACTGAAAGGAGATTGGAACTGCACTAGAGAGCGCTTTATAACCACTTTTTGTTCTCCTTGAAAGTACATTGATAAGGCTGAGAGTCCTTCAGGCAACACGCAGTTCTACACATCTGAGTGGCAGACCTCTTTGGACATGTGCACGGTTCAGAGCAGATTTTACCATCATACCTTCTCTGCCTGGGCCTCCAGAGATTTCAGGTTGTTGGTGACAGTTTTCAACTCTTCCTCAAGCTCGGCACATTTGCTATTTGGATGGGGTAAGGTGTAAGATAGAGGTGGTAGGAATAAACAGAAAAATGGGAGATTGAAAGAGGAGAGAAAGGAATGAAATACCAAACCAAAAATAGGAAAATATTTACTCAGCCAAGATAAAAAGCTGCATTACAGTGCAAAAGATATCCAGAGTGTCTGCAGACAAAACACTCCAAAATGCAATTTTGAGACTGTGTATTATGTAGACAATGCAAAAGATTTCTATAGTAAAAAGCAGATTTTATAAAGGAGACTTGGAGAAAACAAGAACCAAAAGCAGATTTGTCAAACAAAAAAATGCGATTGGTCTCCCTGGGCAATATTTTGTTCCCATTTTCCTTTTTCCGAAGATAACACCTTGGATATCTTTTATAACGTAGCTTTTCCTCTCTGCATCAGAGATAAATACAGTAGAAAACAAAAAAAACATGGGTCATAAGGAAACACTATAGCAAGAGTAAAGCACAGAAGAATACTGCTTGAGTCGGAGTTAGGAGGAGAACTGAAGCCCAGTAGCTGAGGATAAAGACAGGGCCCAGACTGGCAGCAGTACCTTATCCTCTGAAGCTATTAGTGTTTTCAGCGTTTGGTCCATTATTCTCTGCTGCTCATCCTGCTGCCGACAGCGACTATTAATGAGTGCATGAAATAAGGAAGGAGCGAACAAGCCATTCACAATATGTGGAGCATGCAAAGAAAAACACATTGTTACACGTGGTTGGGCAAAATGGCAAACGTGTTTAAAAAGTAATTGTATTGCAATTGCTATCAAAAGTTGGGTTATCAGTCCTAACTGTACATCGCACATAGGCACCTTAGATTGGCAATAACCATAGTCTTTCTAGAAATATTTGGTTCTAAAAAGGAGGATGTTACTTTGAGAATAAACTATAGATTAATGCTAGGTTTAATTTGCTATATACCTCATTTAGTGAAAAAAGTGGCTGATTGTATTACATACGGATTAGACTACACCATACCATATGACAAGATCCATCTGTTAGACTACCCCAGTCACCCTAATACTGCTTGTCCTATTCCCCCCAGTTGGGTTATGTTACTGGATACTTCAATCTTGTAGATTTGACTTCATATAAACATGATCTAGCCAGCCAACCAAGAGGCTAATTATACAATGTATAGATACTTACAGAATTATCTTGGAGGTAGCTAAAAGCCATTAGATAGGAACAGTGGCTCGCAAAAATGCACCCAGATTGCTTTCTGTATTTCATGCAGTTAACTGTATTTTGCAGTATTGTTAATCGAGTGAACTACATTTTATTCCATTACCAAACTTCTTTCCTAGTATGAAATATTACTTGTCAACTGAAACTTAGCTGAAACTACCAGGAGACTGATTTTTGTATTCATACAGTAGATAACACAAGCAAAAAGGAAGATCTTCAGTGTTACATGCATAAAATGTGGGTGCAAACATCTCCACAGTGCTACGGAGTAAGGTTAAAGTGTGCAGAGCAAACAGATGCCAAGGTCCAGACACATGCACTGTAAGTAAGTGAGCACCTACCTTTCTGACAGCTCAGCACGTTCCTCTGCGCGTTCCAAGTCACCCTCAATGATCACCAGCTTACGGGCGACCTATTACACAGAGGAAGTCTTTAGAAAGTGACACAAGTGTGCATATACACAACAATCAATGGTCACTTTAAAGCTGGCCTGGCCTTTAGAGCTGGCCACTGGAATAAGGACTGGTCCTCCATTGGTGCATATCAGTCCAGAGACAGAAGATTCATGAAATTCACACTCTTCATATTTGCGGTCAGCCTCCTCAGCAATGTGCTTGGCTTCCTTCAGCTGGATCTCCTGCAACTCCATCTTTTCTTCATCCTTCAGGGCTCTGTTCTCAATGACTTTCATACCTCTGAAATGTTAAAAATAAAACTTCAGCACCACATGAGAAACCACAGCTGCCATCAGTTTCCTTTATGAAACAGCCCCAAGACTGAAATGGGATGATGTTGACTCTATACATGGCTTTCAGCAGGAATGTAAGAGGATATCTAAGTGCACAGAGTCCAATAAAAATTAAAGAATTAGTCCTTGCAAGAAGATGGCTTTGTGCATACACCATATTCAGCTACATTCGAACATTTTATATGAAAAAGAATGAAACAGTCTAGACATAATACCGGTTTAATGGATCATAGCAGCATGCCATGTTCTCATCAAGATATAGCCTATAGTGGACTTGTTACCATAGGTAAAAATTGTAGAAGGGAACCTCAGGAAACACTCACCTTTCGCTCTCATCTGCAGCCTTCTCAGCCTCCTCCAGTTTCTGAAGAGCTGTGGCCAGACGCTCCTGAGCACGATCCAACTCCTCCTCAACCAGCTGGATACGCCTGTTCAATGAGGCTACATCTCCTTCAGCCTAGATTAACAAGAGCAAAATAGTATCGTCAGGTAACAGCAACAACATGACAGACTCTCAGGCTACATTCAGACTGCTGCAGTGTGCTACCACATAGGTGTTGAAGGGTTAGTTCACCTTTGCCAAAAAAACTGCCTATGCAGGTGAGGGGTGTCTGTAGATAAAAACTATTCAGCTCTGACTAAAGTGGATTTCCCTTGCTATAGGTTTAGGCCATTTATGTACCTCTTTGAAGCCTGCCTGGAATACTTCCAGGACGTTGGACGTTGCTCAGAGAGGTCTGGTTGTTATTGCTCACCTCCACCATCACAGGAGTCAGCTCTTCCTCTCCTCTGATGCAGTAGTTCTGCACTCAGTGTCTGAGAGCTCACTCCTGTGATGGTGGAGGTGAGCAGTAATGACTAGGCCTCTCTTAGCAATGTCCTAGCAACATCCTGGAAGTTTTCCCAGTTGGGCTTCAGGAGGTACACAAATGGCCTACACCTATCGCAAGGGCATTATTCAATTTTAGTCAAAGCTGTGCAGTTTGTTTTTATCTACAGACACCCCTCCGCGAAAGACAGTTTTTTGGCAAGATGAACAAGCCCTTTATCGTGCCCTGCGGTAAGGCAGCTCATTTACTCTGAATGGGTGTCCAACACACCAGGACCAGGACGCATGTTTTAAAGGGCTTACAGCATTTGTCAATGCAGCTCCAAAACATGGCGTGCTAAACATGTGCCTTATGAGCTTGGAAGGTGCACTGTGGTGCCATTCAAAATGAATAGCGTCACAACGCACTTGGTTTCATGCTTTATGAAGACATGTTAAAGCAATACAACAGTCTGAATGGGCCCTCAAAGCTAGGGATCACTAAATGGAATGTAATGCCCTGTATATAGTGGTGTTCCAGATGTTATGGAAATTACATGACATGCTGACACTTGTAAAGCTATAGGCCTGCAAGTTGCGCAACCTTGATGTAAAACTATGTAAGACAGTTAGTTTCCACAATACAGAGAGTACTATATATCATGGCTAATAGAACTGTACACAGCTAATGTTTGCTACAACATGTTAAAACTCCTAGCTAGGGATGTAACAAAATTTTACAATCTATGTTGCAATTAACCAATATGTGTGGAAATTGATCAAATCATAAATTACCTGTAATAAATGCATATAATGTCATTTTTTTTAAAAAAGAGAATGCCAAATTGTAATGTCAGATGGCCAGCGGTTATCAAATGGCAACAGGGTGGAGTGCACTAGTGTTATCATTGCAGTTAAGATTGATATATTTAACAAGATCATTTGCAGGGTTGCACAGGGCATGTAAGGGTGTATTCACTAGTGTGAATGTGTGTGTAGGATGTGGTTTTACACGTCTCAAAGTGAATGCAAACGCTTATACTAACTTCCTCTTTCAGATCAGGCTGTTTACACATTTGTAGTTTAAAATGGTAGGATCTCGCTGAATGACGTATGAAGAATGCATGATATTCTGACAGATTAGGTATATTTGGAAGGAGCGTCACATTCTTTGCACTTACAATAAAGTCTCCATGTCAGGCCACCAAGGATAATGACATGCTTGCTGAGCAGTAAAGAAGCCGCCCTATAAAACTATGTATGAAGAATTACCCCCTTTCTCTACCTGTGCAAGATTTGTCTGGTAGTTGGGTCACTTTAATTCAGACACTGAACATTTTTAGGGTACCCCAACAGCAAATCAGTACTCACTGCACCCCGTGTACAAAAAGGAAGGATAAAACCTCTATGAATACCCACGGTTATCAGGAGGGTATGGAGGTCTCTATGTTCCACCACCTTGCTCATGGATGGTCAAATATCTTCTCTCCAGTCATTCTGAGACTAATTTACCCTTCTATGGGCAGCCTTGAAGTAGAACGTAAAGGCAAAAAACAGTTTTTTTTTTTTCAGATTTGGATAGAGCGTGGCAAGACCCACTGTCAGGTTTTTTATTGCTGTCTGTGTCCCTGTTACGAAGGTTCATTCTATTTGCCCCAATCACCAAAGTCACTGGGAATGAAGGAGAGGGGTAAGTCCAATTATTAATATAAATAAACAGCGCAAATTTAGATGATTAATCAATATAATAAATCATATAAAATAGGTGCATAAATTATTCGTGTTTGCCCTTAATCTTAAACAAAAAACACCCAAAAGTCCATGTGCTGAAAACATAATTTAAATTGTTGAAAGAAAAGTGCAAACTTCTTTTCTTCAAAAAATACTTTCACCTTCCACCCCCGTGCACAAACCAACATCGAATACACTCACCAGAACTTGGTGAGTAAAAGACCTTTAAGGAATTTTTAGGGATCCTTTGATCCCTAAAAACTTTTCCTTTGATAACGCCCTATGGGAGGGGCGAAACGCGTTGACGCATTTCCGGTCCACACTCCATGCGCCTGACATCATTTCCGGTGAGTGGAACGCACGCTGAGCGGTGCGTTCCAGCAGCCATCTTGGTTCACTGTTTGGTCTAAGAGGAGTCCTGTCTTTGTTCCACTGTGGATGTGAGAGTCCTGGAAGGAAAAGTTTGTATATCTGCTGGAACTGAAGCCTTTTATACATAATAAACATGTCTTTAGCAAGTGTTTAACATGTGAGTGGCCTTAATCTCCATTTGGAAAAAGTTACTATTGTGTGACAATATTATGCTATGTGAGTTTTTTTCTTTTGGTTGGATGGTGGAGTCTATTCGGAGGGTGAAGATTTTCCCTAGCGTGGCACCAAAGAGGGTTTAGGATCCCTAAAAATTCCTTAAAGGTCTTTTACTCACCAAGTTCTGGTGAGTGTATTCGATGTTGGTTTGTGCACGGGTGGAAGGTGAAAGTATTTTTTGAAGAAAAGAAGTTTGCACTTTTATTTCAACAATTTAATTATGTTTTCAGCACATGGACTTTTGGGTGTTTTTGTTTAAGATTAAGGGCAAACACGAATAATTTATGCACCTATTTTATATGATTTATTATATTGATTAATAATCTAAATTTGCGCTGTTTATTTATATATTATATGGTTTGTGTTTTCACAACCGGCACAGCAGCATTTTTAGAGTGTTATTTGGAAAGTTTTGGCGCAGGAATAAGTTTTCTTGTATAAGTCCAATTATTAGTTGCTACTAGATCAGGAGTGGAGGGTAAATCTTCCCAAAGGAACACAATGTCCAAAAGTGGAAATCCCTCACATTGGAAATATATTCACTCACTTCCTAAAACCGGCCATAGACTACATAATTTTCTTTCCTGAAAACATGGGTTGCAGGAAAGAATCGCTCGATTCCCCATCAGCACAGTCAGTGTTGATGGGGACTCCCTCCCACGAAGTTGTTGTGCTCTGGCAGAGGGGCACAGTCCCTGTTGGGAGAACACAATGATTATTACTAGCGGCTATAGTTGCTGGCAATAATTGCAAGCTAAAAATCCAACATGCTGGTTGTAACTAAGTCGATCGACTTGGGTACAATCAGCCTGCCCATAGATTAATCGAATCTTGGCCAGTCCCTGCTGAACAGGCAGTCATTTGATCCATCTATGGCTAGCTTAACTTCAGATCAGCTGCACAAAGCCATGGCAATTCAAAGCAATTCATTGCATTTCCCAGAGCTATCAGCCTCAAGCCATACAGTTAGGATGATAAAATCAGCACGAACCTCTTTACTTGCCATGGCAAAGCTAAATGGATGAAAAAAAAAAAAAAAAAAAAAGTAGGATGCTGTCCCATTAAAGTATGGCAGGTGTAAACCTCAGGCTGCATTCACACTTGAGTGCTTTGTAGCTTGAAGCTCCAAAAACACTCAAACTTAAAAAATCAATTGTTCTCTATGGTGCCACTTCCTGTGATCAGGTGTGATCAGGCACCACAGAGAACAATTGATTTTTTAAGTTTGAGCTTTTTTTGGAGCTTCGAGGTGACATATGTGCTTTAAAAAATATAAATGAACACTATGGAAAGGTGACCTGTGATACAGGCGAAAACTGGAAACAAATTAACTTTTTCACTAAATGTTGCCATTTTAGCAGCATAAAAAATATTACGCTAATATAGCAATTCTACTGCTGGCAACACCTTGCTCACAACAGAATCACTGTAGTTGGGTGCAGCAACCATAAAGTTGATCTAGTAATGTTAGCTAATCTGGTATTGGGCCTGTGCTGAAAATGTTTAGCTCAGCCTGTCTCATCCTTTTTAACATGTTGGAACCTTTTAAATAACTTTCTGGTATCCGGAAAGCCCCGCTAATAATTACTATAGGCACATTAGTGTGGTGGCCGGCGAAAAGAATGCCCCCCTGCACTGGGGGCCAGCGGAAAGAATGCCCCCTGCATTCTGGCCAGCGGAAAGAATGCCCCCTACATTCGTGGCCAGCGGAAAGAATGCCCCCCTACATTCTGGTGGCCAGCGGAAAGAATGCCCCCTACATTGGGGCCAGCGGAAAGAATGCCCCCTACATTGGGGCCAGCGGAAAGAATGCCCCCCTTCGTGGCCAGCGGGAATGCCCCCTACATTCGTGGCCAGCGGAAAGAATGCCCCCTACATTCGTGGCCAGCGGAAAGAATGCCCCCTACATTCGTGGCCAGCGGAAAGAATGCCCCCTACATTCGTGGCCAGCGGAAAGAATGCCCCCTACATTCGTGGCCAGCGGAAAGAATGCCCCCTACATTCGTGGCCAGCGGAAAGAATGCCCCCTACATTCGTGGCCAGTGGAAAGAATGCCCCCTACATTCGTGGCCAGTGGAAAGAATGCCCCCTACATTGGTGGCCAGTGGAAAGAATGCCCCCTACATTGGTGGCCATTGGGAGGAATGCTCCCTACATTAGTGGTCAGTGGAAAGAATGCCCCCTACATTGGTGTTCATTGGGAAGAGACCCACCCCCTTAGATAGCCAAAAAGGTAATTGATGTCCATAATTACTTATCTGAGAGGACGAAATAGCTCAAGGAACCCCTAGCAACCTCTGGAGTCTTAGGGTTCCATAAATCCTAGGTTA